GGGCGACCCCACAGCCAAGCAGGGGAGCGGGGCTGCGGACGTGCCCTACAGGGCAGGGTCAAGGACCGCGGCGGCGGCGGCAGCGCGGCCCGAAGCAGCGCGCTGCACTGTGCGCGCCAGTTAAAAGGAGCACCAGGGAGCCGGGAGAAGCGGGGGCCGTATTAAATCCGACCGCGGGCCGCAATTGGCCCGCGGGCCGGACTTTGGACATGCCTGGTCTATTGTGTTAGTTTGTAAAGTGCCCCCTAACTACTTGTTTTCAGTATAGGGGAGCCGGGAGAAGCGGGGGCCGTATTAAATCCGACCGCGGGCCGCAATTGGCCCGCGGGCCGGACTTTGGACATGCCTGGTCTATTGTGTTAGTTTGTAAAGTGCCCCCTAACTACTTGTTTTCAGTATAACTGCTGCAGACGCATGGCTGAGCGGGGCTACACCTCCTCCAGCTAGGATATCAACAGCAGTAAACTGGAGCAGCGGCAGGGCTGAGCTATTTCTAGTCCGATACTCCAACAGGCAAGGGCAGGATACACGTGAGCAGCGGCCTCCCTCCAATGTGCAGTGCTGAAAGCGCCTTCGGTCTCCGTTCAGTCTCTGAGCGCTCCAGGACGGTTGTGCGGCGAGGGCAGCGCCCCACGCTGAGCAAGTCTCCCCCGTCGGCCTGCACCGGGCGGGCAAGCGGGGCGCTGGCACCGGGGGGCCCAAAGCTCCTCCAGCGCCGCGGTGGCGGGCAGAAGAGCGAGCTCCGGCCCGCCCGCGGTGGGGGAAGAAGGGAAAAGCGAGCTCCGGACACGGGAGGGGGCACAGAACGGCCAAAAAGCGGTCAAAGTTCAATGTCTGCGCTCCCTCATGGCCCTTCTCGGCGCTGGGGGGGGCTCAATCCGCCCGGCGCGAACGTTGACCTCTGACCCGCGGCTCAGCCAGCGGGGATGACGCTTTGGGTCCTTTATCGGGTTTAGGCGACCGCGCGCCGCCTGCCCCGGTCTGCTTCACGGGTCCAGGCTGGGACCATTTTGCCAGGGTGAAGGGTCCTCCCAGGCAGCGGAACGGTGCCTGCTGGTCCGGGTCGCGTCCCTGTCCCAGGCACCCTGCTCAGGGCGTAGGTGGCCAGGGCGCTGCCTGATCAGTTGCCGGCAGAGGGAAGGGGGCTTGGTTGCACCTGCGTTCCGGAACAGGGCGCGGGCAGTCACGTGACTGGCAGCGGCCGGCGGCGCCTCGGAGCGAGGAGGAGGCTGCGGGCCCGGGGAGGGGAAGCCCGGACTCCCCTCGGCCAGGCAGGCCCCGGGCGCCATGGGCAGTGAGTGGCGGGGGGAGAGCGTGTGGGGGTGACCTGAGGGACAGACAGATAGACAGCTCCCCGGCTGGGCGTGTGGGGGTGACCTGAGGGACGGACAGACAGACAGCCCCCCGGGCTGGGCATGACGGGGTGACCTGAGGGACGGACAGACAGACAGCTCCCCGGGCTGGGCGCGTGGGGGGTGACCTGAGGGACGGACAGACAGACAGCTCCCCGGGCTGGGCGCGTGGGGGGTGACCTGAGGGACGGACAGACAGACAGCTCCCCGGGCTGGGCGCGTGGGGGGTGACCTGAGGGACGGACAGACAGACAGCTCCCCGGGCTGGGCGCGTGGGGGGTGACCTGAGGGACGGACAGACAGACAGCTCCCCGGGCTGGGCGCGTGGGGGGTGACCTGAGGGACGGACAGACAGACAGCTCCCCGGGCTGGGCGCGTGGGGGGTGACCTGAGGGACGGACAGACAGACAGCTCCCCGGGCTGGGCGCGTGGGGGGTGACCTGAGGGACGGACAGACAGACAGCTCCCCGGGCTGGGCGCGTGGGGGGTGACCTGAGGGACGGACAGACAGACAGCTCCCCGGGCTGGGCGCGTGGGGGGTGACCTGAGGGACGGACAGACAGACAGCTCCCCGGGCTGGGCGCGTGGGGGGTGACCTGAGGGACGGACAGACAGACAGCTCCCCGGGCTGGGCGCGTGGGGGGTGACCTGAGGGACGGACAGACAGACAGCTCCCCGGGCTGGGCGCGTGGGGGGTGACCTGAGGGACGGACAGACAGACAGCTCCCCGGGCTGGGCGCGTGGGGGGTGACCTGAGGGACGGACAGACAGACAGCTCCCCGGGCTGGGCGCGTGGGGGGTGACCTGAGGGACGGACAGACAGACAGCTCCCCGGGCTGGGCGCGTGGGGGGTGACCTGAGGGACGGACAGACAGACAGCTCCCCGGGCTGGGCGCGTGGGGGGTGACCTGAGGGACGGACAGACAGACAGCTCCCCGGGCTGGGCGCGTGGGGGGTGACCTGAGGGACGGACAGACAGACAGCTCCCCGGGCTGGGCGCGTGGGGGGTGACCTGAGGGACGGACAGACAGACAGCTCCCCGGGCTGGGCGCGTGGGGGGTGACCTGAGGGACGGACAGACAGACAGCTCCCCGGGCTGGGCGCGTGGGGGGTGACCTGAGGGACGGACAGACAGACAGCTCCCCGGGCTGGGCGCGTGGGGGGTGACCTGAGGGACGGACAGACAGACAGCTCCCCGGGCTGGGCGCGTGGGGGGTGACCTGAGGGACGGACAGACAGACAGCTCCCCGGGCTGGGCGCGTGGGGGGTGACCTGAGGGACGGACAGACAGACAGCTCCCCGGGCTGGGCGCGTGGGGGGTGACCTGAGGGACGGACAGACAGACAGCTCCCCGGGCTGGGCGCGTGGGGGGTGACCTGAGGGACGGACAGACAGACAGCTCCCCGGGCTGGGCGCGTGGGGGGTGACCTGAGGGACGGACAGACAGACAGCTCCCCGGGCTGGGCGCGTGGGGGGTGACCTGAGGGACGGACAGACAGACAGCTCCCCGGGCTGGGCGCGTGGGGGGTGACCTGAGGGACGGACAGACAGACAGCTCCCCGGGCTGGGCGCGTGGGGGGTGACCTGAGGGACGGACAGACAGACAGCTCCCCGGGCTGGGCGCGTGGGGGGTGACCTGAGGGACGGACAGACAGACAGCTCCCCGGGCTGGGCGCGTGGGGGGTGACCTGAGGGACGGACAGACAGACAGCTCCCCGGGCTGGGCGTGTGGGGGTGACCTGAGGGACGGACGGACGGACAGAGAGACAGACAGCTCCCCGGGTTGGACCTGTGGGGGTGGCCTGAGGGACGGACGGACGGACAGACAGACAGACAGCTCCCCGGGCTGGGCGTGTTGGGGTGACCTGAGGGACGGACAGACAGACAGACAGACAGACAGCTCCCGGGCCGGGCATGACGGGGTGACCTGAGGGACGGACAGACAGACAGACAGCTCCCCGGGCTGGGCGTGTGGGGCGAGGGAAGGACAGCTCCCCGGGCTGGGTATCACGGGGCGACATGAGGGACAGACAGACAGCTAGCTCCCTCGGGGGGGTGTGTGTGGGTGACCTGAGGGAGGGACAGATGGATGGGCAAACAGCTCCTTAGATTGGGTGTCTTGGTGTGAACTGAGGGGAGGGGACGGACTGGGCATGGTGGGGGATGTGAACTGGGAGAGGGACGGACAGCTCCCTAGGCTCAGCCTGTGGGGAAAACTTGAGGGAGGAACACTAGGCTGAGGGTAGGGGATGTCTGGAGGGGGCACAGTCTGACAGACAGTAGGCTGGGGCAGTTTGTGAAACAGATAAACACTAGGTTGAGGTGCGTGGGGTAATCCAGGGGGAGAAACAGGTCTTGGCTGTAGGGAGATGAGACCGGGGACTTGTGTCAAGTGAGGGGGAATCTATGCTTTGTGAGGGAGGTAAGGGATTGGCCTATGCATGACTGGGAAGGTGCTGGAGGAAGTTGGGGGTGATGCTTCCTGGCTAATGCGCTAGGGACTATGCCTTACGGAACATTCCTGGCCGGGGAATGGAAAACAAACCAGCATGTTTATGGGTCTGGCTGTGGGTTTGTCCAGCTTGCTTGTTCTGTGTAGGTCACAGAAGGCTTTGACTACACTAGCTTGAGTGAGGCTGTGTCCTTGCCTGCAGAAGTGCCACCCATGACCCCCGGGAACCGTGCCTGTCTCATAAGACTGTTTGAGATCCCCAGTATGGGAGCTCTTCTATACATTGTACAGGTTGACGGAATACCTTGAGAGAAGAATATGGTTCAATAATTTAGGTCTTTTTCTGACTGTTTAATTTCCAAATTTCTCTTTGTCAGACCAAGGTAATCCAGCTCATCTGTTGGCAGCTGATGGATTTTTGTAGGATATTTTAGCCTTAGTTTATCAACAATGGAATTGTTTCAGCTTTATAAACTAATCATGTTTTTAATTACTTGTCTTACAATTTCATTGTACCAAGTATTAAAGTGTAAAAAAAAAAATCCATCACCAAACGCTCTTGAATAAAATAAGATGTCATGGATTAAGAAGGAAGGTCCTCTCATGAATCGGTAACTGGTTAAAAGAAGGGAAACAGGGTAGGAATAAAATCAGTGGTGGGAAAACTTTTTTAGGCCAGGGTCACTGACCCACAAAAAAATCAGTCAGGGCCACACACAAGTGAGGAATCCCTCTCCCCCCCCCAACCACACACACACACCTACCCTCTGATAAAGAGGCAGCAGCACGAGGTGGGGGGGGGGTAAGAAGGGCAGGTGGGAGGCAGTATATGTGGGAAGCCAGCTTTAAAGGCGGCTGCCTGTGCATGCTGGCTGGGTCCCGTGGAGCTGCCTTCCTTGCCCCCCACTCCCTCACTGCTGTCTCTGATAGAGAGGCAACAGGATGTCAAGAGGGGCAGGCAGTGCACACATGAAGCCGGCTTCCTGCATGTACTAGCTCTGTGGAGCTGCCTTCCCTCCTCCCCCCATCCACCCCACACTGCTGCGGTGGGCAGGAGGGGCAGGTTGGCGCCAGTGCTCGTAGGCTTCCTGCTAACACTGGCTCCCACCTGCCCCCCGGGTGTAAATGTGTAATCATTGGAAAATTCAGGAGTTACACATTTACAAAAATAAATGTTTGCTAACATCCCTAGTCCCTAGCCTGTTTGACATGGCTGGGAAGGGCGATGGGATGGGTCACCTATTGATTATCTGTTCTGTTTATTCCTTCTGAGGTACTTGGCATCAGCTGCTATCAGAAGACAGGATACTGGGCTAGATGGACTTTTGATCTGATCCAGTATTGCTGTTCTTATGTTAAAATATATCCCAGTATATTAGAAAATAAGAAAAAGCATCATTTCAGCAATTTAGCAGATTGTGTACTTAGTTCTGATTGCAGATGTGTGTATGTGTATTTGTTTTAAAAGAGGGATCGGTGACTGAATCTTTGATATTCAAACCTAATGCATCTATTTATAATGCACATGCTTTAGAGGCCAAAAAGATAGTTCTTTGCTCTGGAATTTGTTCCGGTAAAAGGGTAATACTATCTAACTTGTCCAGTCTGTATTACATCAAATGTTAAAGGAACTAAAATCCTACACTGCTCCAATTACATCTAGTGTTTTAGAGGGCTTAAAAATCAGAGGTTTTTTTTTAAGAGACTACTTTGGGAAATTCAATTCAATTAGATGATTTAGGATGAATTTTTTTCTTGTGCATATTTTAGTGCTACAGGTTGAACTTCTCTAGTCTGGCACTCTCTAGTTTGACAACATCCGTGGTCTGGCATGATTTTAGTTAGCTGGATATCCACTTATTAGGGGTATGGAAAAGTTTCCCACAGTCTCATAAAGTTTGTTTACAGTCACAGTCCTGGTTCTCTGTGTTCTGTGCTGCTATGTAGCTCTAATTTACCCCCAAATGTCTAAGACCCCAGTAAGCCGTGGAAGTGTTGATAATGCCACTATACGATATTGAACTCACCTGATTCGGTGAAGTCTCTGGTTCTGCATTGGTCAGGTCCTGAAGGTGCCAGACTAGAGATGTTCAACCTGTATTATAAATCACCATTTTTTCCTGTATTTACCTAAACATGGAAAAATAGCAGATATTCATCTTCAATTAAAGTTTTATGTTTCAGGTCAGTGTCATTAATATGTATAATGCTTCATTTCATGACTATATAAAAATGTCACCAAGCAAGGAAAAGAAAGACTTTATTAGTAATAAAACATTAAATTTCATCTCAGAGTTTTGCCACGTTTTGTCTTCAGGTCAACTAAATCATGGATTTGCAAGTGGTGGTAAGCGTATTCATTTATGTATGCAAGTCATTTTTTTGAATGTCGTACAAGTAGTTAATGTGCACATTTACAGGGCTGAATCCTAACAGTTCACTATTAATCTTCTTTTAAAAATATTTTATTTTTTTCTTTAAACAGTTAAATTTTTAGAAGTTATTAAGCCTTTCTGTGCAGTTTTACCTGAAATCCAGAAGCCTGAAAGAAAGGTTAGTGCCTTGTTTTGATTTTTGTTCATAGATTATTAAAGGGACCATTGTGATCATCTGATACTTATCAAATAAAATCTTGTTGGAATTATGGCATATCTTTTAGAAAAATATCTTCTGTGGATTTTAAAATTTCTTGTCATGGGGAATCCATCACAACCCTTGGTAAACTGAACCAGTGATTAATTATGACCCCTGTTAAAATTTTGCACCTTAGTTCTAGTCTGAATTTGTCTGGCTTCAACTTCCAGCCAATGGATTTTGTTATTCCTTTGTGTTCTGGGCTGCAGAGTCCTCTGTCATGTGCACCTCCACTCAGTCACTCAGTACACTGAGGGGACCCAGCCTCTGGGTCCCTGGGTAGTTCAAGCCTCCCGAGCCTGAATGGAACCAAGGCAAATACCCCATCCTTGGGATCCTTAAGTATGCTCTGATGGTGCAAATGGAGTAATGGGCTTAAAGTGCAGCAGGGGAGGTTTAGATTGGACATTAGGAAAAAATTCCTAACTGTCAGGGTGGTCAAATATTGGAATAAATTGCCAAGGGAGGTGGTGGAATCTCCCTCTCTGGAGATATTTAAGAACAGGTTAGATAGACATCTGTCAGGGATGGTGTAGACGGAGCTTGATCCTGCCTTGAGGGCGGGGGGCTGGACTCGATGACCTCTCGAGGTCCCTTCCAGTCCTATTATTCTATGATTCTATGATTCTGTGTAGCAGCCCGTCCTGAGAGCAGAAATCATTTGCTTAGCCCCTGGGGTCAGTGCTCTCCGTTCAGATGTGCCCATGAGTTAATCATATCCACTTCCAGATCACCACCCAAAGATGTGAGCTTTCTGTGTTACTGTACAACAAGCCCTGTGGCAAGTATAAAGCAGATAATAGATACTTTGTACAGGATCTAATATCTTTGCTCTTTTACTTATCACATAAAGTGTGCGAGTACGGATCACTTAGCAATATCCCTCTTTAGTTCACTTTTCCCTAGGGGTCCTTATGGTTCCTCTGTATCCAGGGACATGGTCAGGGTCCCAAGCCCAGCAGACCCCTATATGTTCGGTTGCTTCTCCTACCTATTGAGCTGGAAAACATTGTTACCAAAGATGCTCCTTTTCTGTAACTTTCCATTCTACTCTGTTGGGGGGACTCCCTCATTAGACTTGTACAAGTGACCAGAAACCCCTATCACTATCAGGTGATTTTGTGGCCAGGATACTTATCCCTTTAAGTTCAGACTTGAAGAAATGGTTTGCCTTGGGCAACAGTCATCTCTTTGTCATATAGATGGACAGTCCTCCACATTTAATAAGACTGTTGATAGCCAGAGGCCAACACCCCTCATGTAAAGAGGAGACCAGTTTTACAATCAAAGGGAGTATGGACTTCATGATGTTACACAGAATGCATGAATTCTCAGTGTCTGTGTGTGTTGAATGCTTTACGCATTACCCCTGGAAAAGATATGCCAGAAGGTCTCCCACATTTGTTTGTAATTCTTAGAGTGGGTGTATAAACGGTAGTTACTGAGCCCAAGGACTGGACAGTGGAGTCTAGCTATTAGGAGAGGGTGCTAGAAAGAGGGTCTGTATCCCAACAGTGTATCTAGGAACTTGAAGACTCTAGTAGTGGCTGGGTACTGGAGGTTTAAAATGCTCAGAACTCAGAGGCTGTGTTCCCTCTCAGCTGTTTAATGAGTGTCAGAGAGGGAGTATTCAACTCAATCTGACACCTTCTATTATCAGGTTGATAAAATCAACCCTTAAATTCTGATTTTAAGAAAAGCAGATCAAACTCCTTGAGTCTCTCATTTATAAGGCATGTTTTCCCTTAATAATTCTCATGACTCTCTTCTCTGAATCCTCTTTAATTTATCAACATCCTTCTTGCATTGTGGACACCAGAACAGGATGCAGAATTCCAGTAGGGGTCAGACCAGTGTCAATTACAGAGGTAATATAATCACCCTATCCCTACTCAGTATTCCCCTGTCTATATAACCAATGGTTGTATTCACCCTTTTGGCTGTGGCATTGCACTGAGAGCTCTTGTTCAACTGATTATTCCTATGACCCCCAAATCTTGGCTTCCCAGTATAGAGTCCCACTTTGGTAGATATGTTCTACGTTTGTTTGCTCCTAGATGTAGTACTTTATATTTGACCATATTTAAATGTATATTGTTTACCTTCATGCAAGTCATCTAGAGTGTTCTGTCAGTGCCTCTTCATTATTTACTACTCCCAATCTTTGTGTCATCTGTAAATTTTATCAGTGGACTTGGCTTTCTTCTAAGTCATTGATCAAGTTCTGATATGTGTGAAAGTTACATCCAATCCTGCTTCCATTTAAATCAGTTTTCTCATTGTATTCCATGAAATCAAGATGTGTGCTTTTCTATTTCTATGCTTTTCTCTCTTATGAAATAGCATCATCTGTGAGTTTTGGTTGGGTATGTTAATATTGAAAGTAATTACGTTTATTGTAATCAGATAGCTCTGGTTCATATTCCCCTAGTAATTAAAATCTGCTTGATCAGGGTGTTTTCTAAACTAAAAACTTGAACAGATTGAAACCACTGTAGCTGTGTCTACACTGCAAGGTTTTTGTGCAAAAACCTGTGGAGCATCCGCACCTCAAGTGCACTTTTGTGCAAGTAAATCAACAGTAAAACGGCAGAACCAGAGGGCTTTTTCCGGCCTAGGTAAATCTCCTTTTAAGAGGCATAACTCGTTTTTGTGCTACAGCTAGTGCACAAAAAGGCAAGTGTGGATGCTCCAGAGGGGCTTCTTGCACAAGAAACCCCTATGGGAAAAAGCACAGGTGCTCTGATGGCCATTCTGTGAATGGCCATCAGAGCTTTCTTGTGCAAGAGCATCCATGCAGTGTGGGCGCTCTCTTGCGCAAAAGCACATGGCTTTTGCAATGTGCTTTGAGGTGTGGATGTGCTCTTGTGCAAGAAGCATGTAGTGTAGACGTAGCCTGTGGAAAAGACACTTCTGTCACTCATTTTGCACCAACTATAGATGAGAAAATGTGAAGGGAGTGAAGGGTTCAGGCATATCTGATCAGATAACTGTGTTATTTAGTGCTGGTGGTTGTTTCAGCCTGTAGTACCTGGATGACCTTTTTCTGTTTCTGGCCTATGGTCTCAGAAGGCTGATTTCCTTTTTCCTTTAGTGTCATACCACAGCTAAATAAACTTTTTTTTTGTCTTCATAGTGTAATGAGTGATGTAAAGCAATGTCTTCTCTGATTCTGAAGTGTCACCATAGTCTTAGAACCAGAGGGAATATGGATTTTAGATATCACAAAAGGTGCCTTAAAATATGAGTGCAAAAAAGATGGAGGCCTATGCTACACTATTACAAACAGGTGGAAGGATCCTTGAACCTAATAGTTTTCACCATTGTTTTTCAGATGTATTCTAGGAAGTGTTTGCTGGGATGTTCTTTTTTGAGACTATTGTGTTTCTTGTCTGTCCTTGTCTTGAATGTTTTATAGCTATATTAGAAGATTTACCTGGCATTGCTCAGGTCTTTAACTCAAATAAGTTTTTCTTTTCTTTATTTAAATCATTGATCTGGGGTGGGGCTTCAGATGAAAGGTTCTGTTTGGAGGACAACCCCAGTCCTCTCTTACTGCAGCAGCTTGGGGCTAGGTGAGAAGTGCCTGTCCGTGGCTGCTGCAGCTTTAGCAGGTACAGCCAGAGGGAGGGGAACAGACAAAACACATAAACAGTCAAATTCTTCTGAAATATAATTAGATAGCTGTGTCTTTCTCCACCTCTGCCCTCTGCTGGCACAGTGGGGTTATAGCTGTCTGTCTCCATCTCTGTCCTCTTGCTGCCCCCCTGTAGTAATTGTGCAGTATAACCCTGTAGTAATTGTACAATATAACTGTCCCTCCTACCAGACCCTTCGCTTTCCAATTTATGAGAAACAATAGAATTCTAGGCACATCCTATTGTCCTAGCACAACCAAACCCAGACCTTGCTTTAAGTTATGATAAGAGGAAACTTCATACCAAATTTGGTTGTGCTTGCCCTTACCATTGAGGAGTTCTTGAACAAACAGACTCACAGATTGACAACATTTCTAAACTACATAGTAGATGATAAACGTTCCACTAATGCCAGTCTAAGTGAGATTTTGTTACAGAACAACTAGCTTACAAAATACTATTCTTCAGTTATTACTTAGAACTTCCACTACTGTCACATTAGATGTATCAGATAATCAGTATTAGACATCTACTGTTACGGTTGAAAACTCTGGCTCTGAACAGTATATGATGTATTATTTTATTCCATAGATTTTTATTATATTCTGTTATCTAAATATGTAGTGTTAATGCAGGCTTATGATTAAACTCCTTCTTTTAAATTCTATTTAATAGATCCAGTTCAGAGAAAAAGTGCTATGGACCGCTATTACACTATTCATTTTCTTAGTGTGCTGTCAGGTATGTACCTCTTTCCATACATATGTACAAACACACACCTCCTTTCTGTAAGACATGGAAGAGGATATAATGTTTGTTTTGATGATTTCTTGTATAGCTGTACCAGTTCAGTTATTTTGTAATTTTATATTAAACATTGAAACTTGCACTTTTGAAGTATCCTTTGTTAAAATTCATACAGAGTCTCTCCCCCCCCCCCCAATACTGTTAAACCTTAATTTTCAGATCTTAAAAGGGAGCTGTGAACTTGAAATCTAGTCTCATTTGAAAAATACGTTAAATGTATTTTTAGGTTTCATACCTACCCGATTTCATCTGGCAGTTTCTTTAATATCTTTGATTTTAACTCTATAATCTTTCCTTTTTATTTAACAACTGTATATTTCTCTCCTTTGTGTGTGAAAGACCCATACAGATGGGGGAAACTGATAATAGGGTGAACAGTGAAAATACATATGAAGTACTGCCAAATTCACACAGTAAACCAGCTGAAAAATATATTTGTCTATTTAATGTTATTACTGAGATGGTAGTTGTAACAAGTTTTTTAAAAATAGACATTGTTTTAAGTTAGCCATGTTTTTAACAAGATGGCACATTGTATGGATTGTAAACACTGCAAGGAAATAGTTCTTTAAATACTGTTTCAGTTTAACTATAAAAATATTATAAATTGATAAATTAATGTGGATAGAAATGTTAGTTACTAAAAAGTAAGCTTTTAAAAATTTAGGTAATATTTGTAAAACACAGTGCTAAGAATTATTAGAATCTAGATTTGGGGTCTAAATTAACCTGACCCGCATCTCATTGCACAACGTTAATATAAATATCCATTTAAACCTTTTTTTTAAACGGTTTTGCAGATCTTTTAAATTGTGCTTTAAAATACTGATTCTGAAATTGTAATGTATAAAATTACTCTGTCTCTAGAATAGTTGTGTGTACATTCAAGTGATCCACAAAAGTCACAGTTCAAAACTTACAGTCTGTAAGCCTATTTAGAGACTAAGGAATTCTTTTAAAAGTAGCTTATTTTCTTTTGCTATTAAAATGTTTATCTGAGATGGGAAAACATAGTACTTTGCACCATATAGCTGCTGAATGTTTATTGAATGTAGACTTTGAATACTGAAAGCTTTACAAGGATTAAAATAGTAAAATAGGAAAGAAACAAGTATAGACTAAATTGTCAGTAAGTAGTTTAGTTTATAATAATGTAGTTTTCAGTCTGACAAGATTCCTGGGACACTTTTTTCCCATAATTGAGGTAGATTCCAAAAGAATCAGTGCCTCATCAATAAGGCCCTACCAAATTCATGATCAGTTTGATTAATTTTATGATCAAAGGATTTTAAAAATCATAGATATAATGATTTCAGCTATTTAAATCTGAAATTTCACAGTGTTGTGACTGTAGGGGTCTTGATCCAAAAAGGAACTTGGAGGAAGGGGTCATAACTTTATTCTGCTCTACTTTTGGCAGTGGCACTCCTTCAGAACTGGGCGGGCAGTTGTAGAGTGATGGCTGGGAGCTAAGTGAAGGCAGTGCTGCCACTGTCGCCAGAAGCAGAGCAGAAGTAAGGCTGGCATAGTATGGTATTGCCCCCCTTAATTCTCCACTGCTGCCAGTGAGGTGCTGCCTTCAGCGCTGGGTGCCTGGCCAGAAGCCACAGCTCTTCAGCCACCAAGCTGTGAAGGCAGTGCAGGGATAAGGCCAGCAGTACTGCAACCTCCTACCACCATGCGACCACTCCATGACCCCCTTTTGAGTCAGGACTCCCAGTTTCAAAAACACTTGTCTCCCGTATTCCCTGTAAGCTTGGTGCTTGTGCAGCTGCTCAGGAGAGATTCAAATGCTGCCCTGTTGATTAGCAGAGTGCTCACAACTAGTTTTTTTTTCTAGTGGTGGTGCACATGTCTCAGTGCACATAACAAATTATTCCACATATGGATGGAATAAATCTGCACATTAAAGGAAAAGAATAAAGGAACATTGCTTGTTTCCCCCATGAAATCCCTATTGTATAGGGTAAAAGTACACACAAGACCAAATTTCATGGAGGAGACCATATTTCACTGCCTGTGATGTTTTCATGGCCATGAATTTGGTAAGGTCCTACTCATCAAGGGTTAAAAAACTGCTTCCGAAGAGCAGCATAAGAGAAAAAGCATGACTTCTGAACCAGCAAATGATTTATTTTTGTCTGTTAAGCTTTAGAACATTCATGTGTGCAATTCTCCATCATAGAGAATTATACAACACTTGTATGTATGGTTGGACCTCCCCCAGCTTCAGCCACGGGGGAGTTGGGGCTGCAGCTGAAGTGTTTCTGGGCATGGATAAACTGGAGGTGTTTGACTTCTGACGCTTCAGATACCAGGCTTCCGAGCTTTAGACCAAGGGGGCATGCTGGAGTTCAGAGCTTCAGACATATAGCTCTGTTCCCAGCTTTACTCCTGCTGGGGCTCAAGGCTTTAGTTATAAGGGGAGCACCAGTTTCAGCCCCAGTGCTCTCCCTGTAGCTAAAGCCTTGAGTTCCATCTGAAACCAGGAGCAGAGCTATGGGGCTGAAGCCCAAACCCTGACACTCCCTGCACTGTCGAAGCCAGAAGGGAGCCCAGGCTGATGCCTCAAGTACCACCTCTAACCCCCAGGTCTAAAGCCCTGAGTTCTGGTACTCCCAGGTGGCAAAAACCTTGACACAACTGCCTCCTCTCCCCCCCCCCCCCAGAAGCCCCAACCCCTGCCTTGAATTATGAGCCCAAGCCACCAGTCCTGTAGCTGCAATCCCAAATTCCCCTACTGGAACTTGTAATATCTTGTTCAGTTACGTACCATTTCAGAGTTACAATTTCCATTACCAAGGTATCCATAACTCTGAGGTTCTACTGTAGTCAAAACTGTTTCTTAGTATCAGTAGGGTCCGAATTGTGTATACAGAAATCCTGCAGTCATATGATATCAAGACTGAGAAGACAAATAACAGTACAGGGTGGAGTTAATACGGAGTAATCACTGTTTGTGTTGCTTTTAGATCGTAAGATCATCTGAATCAATAAAAAACAGTTTCGGGTAGTAGAATACAATTCTAACCTAGTTCAAGAGTTCATGGCTTGCACTGTTAAAACAGCAGCAAAAGAGTATGCCTTCTGGTCTGTTTTATGGTATTAAAACCCAAAAGATGAAGTTAATTACCATGCCGGTTTTAGTGACTTAAATTTGTGATTGTTTCCATTCATGGTACTTTTCATAGTTAAAAGATTTTAAATATTTCTGTTGTTGGAGAACTAATCATTGGGGAAAATAGTTGTACAAGTTTAATTTCTCCAGTGTGACACACACTGGTCCGGCAACATCTGTGGTCCAGCATGATTAGCCAGATGTCCACTTTACATGAATGTGGCCAAGTTTCATGTGGTCCTATAAAGTTTGTTTACAGCCACCAGTCCTGGCTCTCCGTGTTCTGTGTTATTTAGCTCTAATTTACTCCTAAATGTTTTCTAAGAGTTCAGCAAGCAGTGGAAGTGTTGGTAAGCACTAGACACTATCGATCTTCCATGGTTCGGCAAATTCTCTGGTTTGGCACCAATCTGATCCCAAAGGTGCTAGTTTAGAGAGCTTCAACCTCTATTAAGTTTTCTAGTGTATCTCTTACCTATAAAGAAACGCAGTATTAAGACCCAAAGGTATAGTTAAAGTAGTAACTGAATGCTTTTTGGTTTTGTTTTCAAATTTGAATTTTTTTTGTTATTTTTTTGATCCATTCGTTCAAAGCTCAAATACTCTGATGAAATACAAACCCAATAGAATTTATTATTTTATTGGTTTCCTAACACATGAAGACCAGCATATTTAATTTGTACAGGATATTAAATAGTTCTCTTTTATATTGAGCTTTGGGTTTTCTTCAGAAGATTATGTTGCTTATCACATAAAATTTATGATCTAGTCTTAATTTCTGACACATGAAGACTATTGAAATAAATTATTCCAAGCAACATATCTATAACCTGAAGTCCATTCCGGATTACTTTCTATAGTATATATTTGTTTGTACGGTGTGCAATGTGCTCTTAACAGATAAGTCTAGACATTTAATTCTACACACATCTTTACAGATACCTTTGTTTGGAATCATGTCATCAGACTCTGCAGATCCTTTTTATTGGATGAGAGTCATTCTTGCATCAAACAGAGGTTAGTAGATTAGTCATTTATCTTAATCTTTTCTTCTCTGATATTAATTTTAACAGGTGTGACAATTGATTAGACATTAGATTGATTTTGAAATTTTTGATTTAATGGAGCCTAGGTACCAGAGTTAGATACTTATGTTTTAGTTGATCTTTATCTGTTCTCAGTCTGCAGCAGATTAAATCCTGTATTTTTTTTATGTGATAGTATATTAATTCATTGCAATTGAAAGAAGGCTTTATACACACACATGCCCTCACAACAATTAATAAAAAAAAAGGTAACTTTATATGGCCTATTTGAATCAAAATTGTACATTTTTTGTTCTTCTTTATAATTAAGGTTTTGACTATGAAAACTGTATAAAATGTTGAACTGGCCACATGCTAATTTTGGTTCTTTGAAACAGAAAATGTGGACCAAACAGTTAAACTTGCAACATGCTAGGGAAAGGAGAAACTTTCCTATGATTCACTGAAAGATGGCTAAACCTTCAAATAGTCAAAATTAGAACCAAAGTGAAGATAGGAAAATTTATTGCATGGATGAGAAGAACTGGTTCCCACAGATATTGTGTAATTTTGGCTTTGAGTACATGGAGTTCTGTTGCCATCCATTTTGTACCATAATTTCATCAGATTTCGTAAGTGTAGCAGAGCCTAGCTGCGTAAATGGCTGTGTGACAAATACAACAATTTCCTGCAGTATCTGTGAGAGATGTTATTCAATTATGTTTCAACAGCTTTGGAATCCACTATTATAAGTGCAGTATGTTCTTCAAATGACTATTTTACACAGTGTGCCAGAGAAGAATAAATGTTGGGGCTGAACAAAGTTAAAAGGGAAAATCTCTGGGGGAGGTGTGTGCAACCATGCCCTGCTGGTTATTTAAGAACTCATCCTTTTGAAGTTTCTCCCTGAGGAAAAGACCTTTGTAACAAGTGATGAGGACTGATCAGCTGTCAGAGCTCTTGTTGGAGTTGAGGTGACCTCTGCTGTGCCTATTAGTATGTGTTTAGGTCCTTTTATTGGGTATAATGTTTTCTTTATTATGCTTTCACTTTAAGTATAAATGTGCTCGCTTATAAAGGGATGTGTGGTAACTTCTAACTGAGTGCAGTTATGCTGTGTATAGTCTTTGAGGTGAAAGCCAGTTCGACTTGCTGGGTAACTCACATTGTTGTAAGCAAGGAACTGTGTAGCCTGGAAAAGCCCTGATCAGGATGGGGAGAGGCCTCTACCTTGCAGTTGCCCTGAACTGTTACAGGTTATACTACAGAAATCAATGCCGCAGAAGATATTTTTTCTTGCCTTCTAAGTCGATGCTGAAACCAGTATCATAGCAGAGAGCTAGGAGACCTGATGATGTTAGTAGATATAAAAATCAGAACATTTTAATAGCATATGGCTTATTTCATGGAAGTGTTAGTTTAATCCTGCTGTCCTCATTACATTCTCCCTTCCTAAGTGCCTCCTGCACCATTAGCTAGATATTCAGTTATTCTCTGGTTGGTGAATGATAAATCAGTGGTCTTCTGAGGCCTTTCTGATCGTCCCCAAAATAGACCAACTCATTGAGAGAGAGTGCTGATGTGAGAGGAGTATCCATAGGAAGACTTTCCTCGGGGAAGAGTTCAGAAGTATGAAATACTGGAGAACTAGCTACTTATCCTGTTCAATCTCTGTACACCTCAGCTTTGGAGCATAGCGTAGGTTCACAAAAATGTTTGAAAGGGTACACACATTTCTCTAGCATGGCCTTCAAAACTTCCAATTGTGACACATCATCCTTTGTTTTAGAGGGGGTAGTGGTCTTTCTCTTTGATAGATGTTTGAAACATCAGTAGGCTGGAAAGTGTTTGGCTGAAAGAATATGAAGACTTTTTTTTTTTTTTTTATTGTCAGAACTTTCTAAAGGACTGATCCTTAGAGGTGCAGGGATTTGAGCTATGATTTAATAATTTTTCTTCTTTTTCAGGGACTCTGATGGAGTTGGGTATCTCGCCCATTGTGACATCTGGTTTGATCATGCAGCTGTTAGCTGGTGCCAAGATAATTGAAGTTGGTGATACACCAAAAGACAGAGCACTTTTCAATGGAGCCCAGAAATGTGAGCATGATTTTGGTTAAAATTACTAAACATTTCCAGGCTTAGCAAACCAATGTGTATAACTAAAATGCTAGACATGAAGCATCCTTGGTATAACTCAGAAGCTGTCTGTAAATATGCATTGCTTTCTTTTTGTTTCAGTGTTCGGGATGATTATTACTATTGGCCAGGCCATTGTGTACGTCATGACTGGGATGTATGGAGATCCTGCCGAAATGGGTTATTATAATTCAGGTATTTAACTCTTCTATGCAGAAGGACTTCTGTGACCTTCAGATAGATCAGGATTTTCAATCCATCTATACTCTTTCTCCTACTTACCTTAACAAACCATTGGCTTTCTTCTCTTTTCCAAAGTGTTCTTAAAATTGTAAACAGTACATTCTAAATGCGTATAATGCAAATGTATGACACTTATGCATATTATAATTCAGGTATTTAACTCTTCTATGCAGAAGGACTTCTGTGACCTTCAGATAGATCAGGATTTTCAATCCATCTATACTCTTTCTCCTACTTACCTTAACAAACCATTGGCTTTCTTCTCTTTTCCAAAGTGTTCTTAAAATTGTAAACAGTACATTCTAAATGCGTATAATGCAAATGTATGACACTTATGCATATGTGTAAAATCTCCCAGAAGGACAAAGACACATGCAAATGGTTAAATATGTTCAAGATGTTCCAGATAAGTGGGTTGTGTTTGATCCCACTTGTCAAAGCTAAATATTAAAGCAGGAGTGGAAGGTTTTGAAAGCTGCAGACCTGTTTAGGATATTTCTGATTAAAAGGCGCGAATAGATCTTAATGAAATCTTAGCAAAGCAATCCCTGCACAGTGTAAGAAACAAACATATCTGGTCTGTATAGAAAACATTATTTATTGAACAATCTATTATTGTCAGTACTGAAAAGTTATGTAAATACAACAAGAAGGCTCCTGTTCTTGAATTCCTGACCTGCTGACTTTGAATCAATGTTGAGGTGTTAGATGGGAACAGAACAACTAGATTTAATATTGAATACTCCCACTTTATAATGAAAATATTATCAGTAATATTTGAATACTTGAATTCTTGACTGACTTATTCTTATTTCTGCTTACTTGCATTTCTTTCCCCACAGTTGTTTGTTGCTGGTTTGATTGTGCTGCTGTTAGATGAGCTGCTGCAGAAGGGTTACGGCTTGGGGTCTGGTATTTCCCTCTTTATTGCTACCAACATCTGTGAGACCATTGTCTGGAAGGCGTTTAGTCCCACTACTATTAATACAGGCAGAGGTACATTGCACAGATAACCGTAACAGCACACTTGATGCGTGCTAAACTGTATTGTACTACAGAGAAGCAATTAACTATGGAACTGTTGGTTTAGTGAGGTGCTGATTAGCTTTTAACAATGGTTCTCCAAAAATGGAGACTAAACACTGCCAGGTCTATAAGAATAACTTTATCAAGGAAAATAAAAATCCAAAAGTTTGCCTCTGCCATTTTAAATTATAGTGGGTGAAGTGGAGACATATTTGTTCATCATCCTAATCCTTCCTTGACCTCAGGAATCTGGACTTCCTAGATTGAATCCTGTGTCTTATTTTAACACTTTGTGGTGCACAGACATAGAAAAGGTGGTGGAGTTAGTATTTTCAAAGGAGATGTCTGTGGTACAGTCACTGTGTGAATGAGACAGAAATGTTTGACATTTTGTAGAATGGGGATCCCACCTTCAGTTTTCTGCCATGCCCTCAGGGCTGCACTGGGAGACTAGCTTTGGCCAAAGAGAAATACTGCTTCTATCATGCTGAGAGGTTACCAGACTGCTTATATATAAACTCTAAATCCTGAAACAAATTTTACCTTGATTGATTGCATCTCCAGTCTCTGGCATTTTTATTTACTGTGCTTGCCTGCTGCTCCTTTCTACCAGTCCTTTTCTCTTCATCCTCCGTTTCTCCCCTCTCCGTTAATAAAAAAAGGGCGGATTTTTTTTGTCACAAGGTTGAGAAGTATAGGTTCTGTCACAAAGGGCTGTGTCCTGAATGTCCTTGAACTCTGCTGGCTCGAAGGGAATCTTACATTATGACATACACATTTTAAATAGGACTACAGCGCAACATATCTTATAACATTTATACATCACTTTTGCAATTATAAACTAATGCCAGACCTTGTTAATTATAATTCACAGTGTTTTACTTTAAAATTCAAAAAGAAAGATGGAGTAGCTTACTCTTGCTTTGCTTTATATAGGGACAGAGTTTGAAGGTGCGGTGATTGCATTATTCCATCTTTTGGCTACACGAACTGACAAAGTCCGTGCATTACGGGAGGCTTTTTACCGACAGAACTTACCCAATCTCATGAATTTGATTGCTACAGTGTTTGTGTTCGCAGTGGTCATATATTTTCAGGTAAATGGAAAGTGCAATCTATAGCTGTAAGTCAGTTACTTAATTACAAAAGGAAGAAGGATCCACACTCTTAATTTATTAGTCTTCTATTGAAAGAACGAATTACAAAAGTTAAAATGGAACAGCTAAAATATTTGTCTTGTGATTTCAGGAAGTAATAAAGTAAGATTTTTTTTCTACTACTGTCATTTCACTAGCACAGTGAGTTCCTGGTCTGTAACTGAGGTTCCTAAGTACTACAACAATACCATTAATAAATTACATAACATTAAATAAATTACATTAGCTTTGCCATTAAATGCCACACCCAGTGATGTTTTTAGTTAAAGTATTTTCATATTCTGGAAATGAAAAATAATTCTACTACAAATCTTAATGGTTCTACAGTGTACAAAATACACTTAATATGGTACAGTTTGTTTTTATGATCAGCTCTCGAGAGCCATATTTCTCTGTGATGTGACTTGTGCAGTTTGTTCTAGAATCTTGGAACCAATGCATAGTTTTTGGCCTGAATGATTTTTCTAAATGCCCAGCTATGCAATATGCCTTTTATGTAAATGTTTGATCATACTTAAACATTGGACATCTATTACTAGGTTCTTGAGAGAGATCTATTTCCGATGAGTGCCCCTATATGGAATAAATGTGATTCAAGTTGTGAGAACTGAAATCTCTGGCTCGTAAATCATATGTGGCTCTTAACATGCCTGTTCAGTCTAGGACAGGGCTACTCAACATGCGGCCCATGGGCTGCATGCAGCCCGCGCGGCCTGTTTGCTTGTGGCCCGTGGTGTGGTTTGGGTTTACATGGGGCTCAACACGTGGCCCGCGGGTGGGATCCTTTGAACATGGCCTCCACTGGGAAAATGCTCCATAACGGTGAGGTGTCTCCGAGGTGGGGTGAGCACTGAAAGATGCAAGCGAATAGGCTGGCTGGAACAGATGGGTACAGGGTATCAGCATTTCTAGCCCCCAGGAAAGAGGTACTGGGAGTGCTGGGGCATTGTGGGAAGTGCTGGCTGTTTGGCCTTGTGGCAGAGCCTGAGAGGTGCTGACTGGCTCACACTGGCCACATTTAGGTCTGGCGCCGCAGTTTAAGGCTAAATCTTTGTATTCATGCCTGTCAGTGAAAAGAAGCTATTTGCATATATATTTGCATGTATATGCAACCACACTTGAAGTTGCGGCCCTCGGGATGTGCTGAGAGTATCATTATGGCCCCTGGGACTTCCCAAGTTGAGTAGCCCTGGTCTAGTAGATTAGCTATAACCAGCAAACAGCAGAATGCTCTGCTTGCAACTGTCTTTGGAGGTTGGTTAGGGTTCTGCAATAAAAGCTGGTAGGCTCCCCTTCCCCAAATCCTAGATACAAAATGGATGCATTTTAAAAGTTTAGAGAGGGAAATGGTTGTGGACAAGATACTTTGTGGAACCTAACAATATGACATTTTAAACATTCATAAGGTTTATATAAATTGTAAACTGTAAAAGTTCTGTCATCTGGCACTTAGCTCAATTAATCGGCATTTCTGATATCTCCCAGTATAAATCGTCAGTCTAGAAACTGAGACTAGTATACTGCCGAGCATATCATGCAGTTACACATTCTGAACTCTATTTTTATGCAAAAGAGGAAGAAGATAACAAGCAAACTGAAATCAAGGATTTATTCAAGAAAGCAGCTTCCAGGATGTGCGATGGGGTCATTACAGATTCAGCCCAATCTCTTACACCTAGTATATCTACGAGAAATGTTGATGATGATGCTGAGGCACTGCAACATCCTGAAGTATCTTCTAAATAGTCAAAGAAAGATTAAAATATGTTCAGTACAGTTTTAGTGTAAAGTATATTTTTAGTGATCTGGGTGTATGCCATGCCCATGACCTACTCTGTAGAAAACTTTACCTGCATACACCTAAGTGCTTCAAGAAACCAACCACTCTGCAATTCAGTACTACTCCTAGATTGGTGAATACTTGTATACTATGTTATACTTGATTCGATGGATTATATTCTAATTCTTTGACCATTGGTATGCCATTGGTGAAGTATAATCCCTTCTTTCCCCCCAAAATGCTGGATAACAGAGCTGTTACTATATTTGCAGTAGCACCTAGAGATACTACTAGGTTCAGAGTCCCATGGTACTAGCTTCTGTTCAAACAATCTCTGACCCAAATAATTCATAAGTCAGTACCCTCATTATGAGTAGGACAAATGTTGCATTGTGAAAATCAGAACATGAAACATATCCATTTGTTTTAATGTTCCAAGTCAAGCAAAATGGCATGGATTAATTTGAGGTGTCACTATCAGGCAAAAAAAGTTAAGTGATTTTTAACCTGTAGTTTGTTTAGGTGAATGAAAATGCTAGGAGATATTGCATGCTAGATAAGACAGCCATGTTACAGTCAATCATATGACTTAAATGCATAAACATGACATGTTATATATCTGGCTCAATCCAAGGAAGATTCTAGACCACTGTTCTGTTCATTATTAGGGAAAAACAAACAAGCTAGTCCAAAGGCTGTTTATTTCAGTCCGTGCATTCTAGGTTATCTAGTGAATACTGTACCTTACTAACAGTGTTGTTGTGACATGCCTTTGGGTTTAAAAATAAACAACACTTTTTTCATTCTGTCTTAGGGATTTCGTGTTGATTTACCTATCAAGTCTGCTCGATACCGTGGACAGTATAGTAGCTATCCTATCAAGCTCTTCTATACCTCCAACATTCCCATCATTCTTCAGTCTGCCTTAGTTTCAAACCTCTATGTCATTTCCCAGATGTTGTCTGTTCGGTTTAGTGGCAACTTCTTGGTAAACTTACTAGGACAGTGGGCAGTAAGTATCTATCACTTATCTAAGTTATTTTATAAGTATTTTAGTATTTAACAAGTAGGAAGTTTAAATACTAGGCTTTTCAAAAATTCATGTATCTACAGTCTTAATTAAAGGAATCTGAAACCTCCATAAGTGTGTTTTTTGATGGTAAGCAGAAATAACAAGTTGCTTTTTCTTCCTCCCATGTAGGATGTCAGTGGTGGTGGCCCTGCTCGCTCTTATCCAGTTGGTGGCCTCTGCTATTATCTATCTCCCCCAGAATCCATGGGGGCTATATTTGAGGATCCTGTCCATGTAATAGTTTACATAATTTTTATGTTGGGATCCTGTGCGTTCTTCTCCAAAACATGGATTGAGGTGTCTGGTTCATCAGCGAAAGATGTAGGTGTTCTGATAGCTGCTCTAAAATGCTGTTTTAAAATGTTGCCTCTTATTTAGATAATTAGCTTCTAACAGATCACAGCTATTATTCTAAGCGAGTGTCTACACTGCACCCTTAGCTCGAAATAAGCTACGCAATTTGAGCTACTCAAATTAATTTCGAAATAGCTTATTCCAAAATTTGAAATTTTGAAGTAGAGTGCTATTCCAAAACATCCCTTAATCCTCATGGAATGAGGTTTACAGGGACATCGGAATAGTGCACCCGTTATTTCAAAATAACGGGCACACTGTCAAGACGTGGAAAATGCTATTTTGGGATACCTGAATTTCAGATGACTGAATATCAGCTATTATAAAACTCTGCAGAAGTCTGACAGAAATGTGTGTCTGCAGGTTGCTAAGCAACTGAAAGAACAGCAAATGGTGATGAGAGGCCACAGGGATACATCAATGGTTCATGAGCTTAATAGGTAAGGAAATGCTGGTTCGCTACAGAAATTCACTGCTATGTAATTAACATTTTTTTATACACTGGGTACCCTACAAAGCCACTGAGATTTGTGCCCAGTGCAAGATACAGATGCAGCTTACTTTTTCACTCTCCTCACATGTTCCATAACACGCTGTCATATTAGTTGAGGAAGGCAAGTTCCCTGGCAGACAGCAGGGAAAAGGTGTTTATGGAAGAGCTGAAAAAACAATAGATGGAGACTTCCTGTTTAAACAGGACAATGGGGGAATTGAGATGAGTCCCCCGCATGGCTTTATTTAAAGGGAAAATAGCCTGATTTCCCACTTGTTCAAATGATCTCAGGAAGCAGCTCTTCTTCCACACTATGTGGTGCAGAGCCCCAGCAATAAACATTGTCTTGTCCCTGATCTTTGGATATTTGAAAACTGCATTGGATAAAAGGGCTGGATGATGTTCCGTGCTGTTGATGTAAAGACCATTAAAGGGTTGAAAATGGAAGTGGAAGGCATTTCGTTTTGTCATGTTCCTGTATGTTTTGTAAACATTTTAGTTATATCCCAGCCTTGTTTTTTTTTTTCTGTGATTGTGCTGCAGCAGACCCACTATGGGTTTTTCTGCTGGCAGGTACTTGATTAGAGGGAATTGGCATCTAATTACTTAAAATAATTGTGCCCTTTTGACTCTCCTGATTGTAATCTTGCTTCTCTTGCCTCCCTTCCTCCCATAGTGATATCTGGAGAAAAAGAAACAAAACGTTCTTGATCACTGAGTTAAAAAGTTACTGAGTGAGCTTTGCTCTATTGAAGCTCACACCTGAAAATGACTCTAACAATGTTGCCTTAAAATTTAGAGCCAAACTTTACCCTCTAGTGTGGACTTCGCACTTGTATCCAAGAGCAGAATTTTCCCCAAACAAATAGCATGCTTCACAATTGAAAAGTAGCTGTCTTTTGTTTCTTTAGCCTCTTAGCAGTTAGCACATTCACAGCATGCTGTGTATTTAGTCAACTTTACAAGAGCTAATCCTCACAATATTGCTGTAAAGTAGACACATTTCCTGTTTAACTTGGAGAAACTGATACAGATAGGTGACAACTTACCAAAATCACAGTAGTTCCTGTCAGAGACAGGACAAAACTCTGAAGTTCCTAGTGCCTGAATTCCTAGTTCCTAGTAGCTACTTCTGTTGGCAATATCACACAGTGATGTAGAATTAAGAAAACAAGCTCCGTAGATGGAGAAGATTAATTGTGAAAACTTTCTGTTTCAGGTACATCCCTACAGCAGCTGCATTTGGTGGCTTATGCATTGGCGCCCTCTCAGTATTAGCAGACTTTCTTGGAGCCATTGGATCAGGCACTGGCATCCTGCTTGCAGTCACCATTATTTATCAGTATTTTGAAATCTTTGTAAAAGAACAGGCTGAAGTTGGAGGAGTAGGTGCTTTATTTTTCTAAATGTCCAAATATTTCATGATTTGCTTGAATGGGAAAGTATTTTGACAACATGCCTCACTCAGTCCAATAATGCTGTCGTCTTTTTCAGTTTAAGTGCTGAGTCCCATTATCATAATGGGCATTGAGCAATGCCTGTGTGCAGCATCAGTACCAGCTGCCTTAAGAATAAAGTTTACATTATCTTGTTTAAATAGATCTAGTGTTGCCTGTAATGCTGGAAATCACTGCATCTACTTGCTGTTCAGACACTACAGTGGGATGGTAAAAGGTAACAGTTTGATTACTAGAAATCATTTTTGCACACAGTGTAAAGATCTTAAATTGATTTCCCCATTTTAGTAGGAAAACAAAGCCCAGAGTGCAGATTCCCACATGCCAATATTCTTGAGCTTATTAAATAAGTTCTTGACAGAATTTATATTTTACATGAATTACTTTTTATACTTTTTTAATGTGCATTTCTCCATCGTTGTGCTTCAGTATTCCCTATTCATTTGTGTCATCTCCACTTGGGCACCAGATTCCTACCTATGAGAGTGAATAGGTTTTACCTAAGTGCTACTCATCTCACCTCTGAATTGGTTCTGCTGTGAGGGGTGCTGTATGTGCAAAGCCTAGGGAGCACTTCCATTCTTGGCCTTGGGCTTCCTGCATAGAAGGTGCTGTCATGCCACCAGGTTGGCCTATGCCTTTTGTATTTAACAAGTACTTGTGAAAACTGTGCCACTGAAACTTCATGTCCACTTTGCTTTTGTGAGCCTGAACAGAGGCCTGCTTCCTAAAGCAGTGTTTGGAGTGGGGAGATGGGGAAAATTAATAGTACCTGCTGACGTAGTACTTTACAATGGCAATGTAATAAGTATAAACAGACAATAAAATTATTTAATTAAATCCTGTTTCCTATCGGTGTGTGTTTTTTCTTTTGAAAAAACCCCAGACCTGTTCCCTTAAATGATTTCATCATGACACAATTAGTTTGAAATGAACAAACATTGCTTCACAGTAATTTTGAAGTAATAATTGAACTGAGATTTAAAATACCTAAGTGATGGTATGTCAAAGTAAGATTTATTTGCTTGTATCTATCTATAATATAGAAAGGACAGTGTTTGTATGTTTGTGCGCTAATACCTTGGACACTCTAAGAACTACCGCAACCAAACTTTGCATGGGATAACCTTTCATCCAGGAGGTTTTAAGGTACTTTGGGAGGGAAGAGATGAGACTGATGCCTCTCCCCGGAGCTGCATGGAGCTTGGCAGGTGCAGGGAGAAGTTGCTTCCCTGGGGAAGCGGTGGGGACAGTCACTCACTAAGGCCGGCGGAGGGACAAGGAAGCGGAGGGCGGGCTTGGGCGCTGGCAGCAGGCACTCAGCTCCCTTCCTCATCCCTCACTTCAGTATATCAACTTTTCTGAGCAACGCTGGGTAACACCAGCTAGTTTAACATAGTGCAAACTACTCTATAGCCTTGTCTACCCTACAAAGCCTGTGTCATTCAGGGTTGTGAAAAATTCATACTTCTAAGCAATGTAGTTAAGCCAACCTAACCTTCAGTGTAGACAGTAGTATGTCAATGGAAGATTTTTTTCATCAACCTACCTGCTACCTTTCAGAGAGGTAAATTACCTTTGCTGATTGGAGAATCCTTCACTTCAGCATAGGAAGTGTCTACACTGAAGCATTATGGTGCTGCAGTTTTTCAAGTGTAGATCATCTTAAGTCTTGGATCTTAACTTTGTTAATTTGATTTCCTAACATCTGACTTTTTTAAACCACTGAAGGTACCTGTACCTCTCTGGTACATCACCTCATAGTCAAGTGTGCTGTCTGTGGAAATGAACATAGTTTATGTGGCAAAAGTTAATAGGCCATTCAAACATCAAAATGACCATCAAGGATGAGAAGTCTCTGGGGAAAAATTGCAAAGAGGTACTGCTCCAAGGCTGCAAATATGCTCTCATTCCTAGTTCTTAACCACTGGGCAGGTGATGCTGGTGGGATGATGAGTGAACAGACTGCATTTTTTGTGGGACTCCCTTTTACTGTTTTTGTAGAACTGGTACACTACCTTTGTGCACCCGTGCTGTTTTATACAGAACATGGTGTCTAATAAAATATCCAATACTATATGAAAAATGAACAAAGTTGTTAGACATGTTTGGGTATCTGTCCTCCATTTATTTTCTTTTAATGTCTGCAGTAATTCATAATATGAATAGGTTTAAATCATAAGATATTCATTTTGGATTCTCAGTGTTTCTGCAGATTGTTTTAGTGACATCCTGCATGCCCGTGGGTGGGATGATATGACCTTCATCTATGTAACAAGTTACAGTTGTTCAGTGGGTGTTACTACCAATGCATGATTACCCAGTTAAAGTAAAAGGACACGCAGGAATAGGTTCAATGTGGACTTGGTACTCTTCACCTTTTCCATAAGAGCACCCCAGATAGGCATTGCAAGATACGATTCTATAACTTTCTACCTCAAGAAAACTTGAAAGCTACCTCTTAAAGCTCCATCAGGCCTACAGCATTGCTACTAGTGACACCCGAGCCACTTGTGAAGGGTCAGTCACAATGACTGCTTATGCACTTTAGAGAAATGCTGATGTGAATCTCTCCCCCATAATTTACTTTAGGGAATTTACTAACTCCCTTTGTTATAGCACTGAAATGGGAACTAGAGCACTGTGTATATTTAGCCTTAAGCATTTATGGATGGTACATCAGAATTTGAACCAAGTCTGATGCTGAAAGACGCTAACTAGTAGTTTTCTCCCCTCCATTAGGCTGGAGACCCATGAAACCTTACATGCTAAGTAGCTTCTGGTTTGCAGTTGCCACTATGAAAAAATGCCATGTAATCTGTAGTGACTGACTAGACCAAGTCCCCTCCCACTGTTTTTTGCATCTTCAAAAACACCAGGCAGTTTTCAAGAGCAATTAGTTATCTCGGGCTTCGCAATATGACACCTTTAAAGAGGATGATGAGAGTTTTGAACACAGACATCTTTGAGGAGGATCTAAAAACAAAGGGCTTGATTTCTAGTCCTGGGTGATCATATGGTACTTTTCATAATGCCACTCATCTGACCCCATTCCAAAGTATATATACTTAGCACAGTGAAGGCTTCAAGCTTTGTGGGAATTCTGTCCAGCTAGATTTGGCGCTGTTCAGGTTAGTAAAGTATCTCATTATCTTAGCCCAAAGGTGTTAAGCTGCAATGGTGGATTAAGTGATCTCTGTGTATAGTTTCAACATAATTGTGAACTGCTCAACCATAAAGAGCACTTTCAGCAAAGAAATGACATGATTTCTTAACAGGCCATGATTCTTTTTATTTTTCCACAAAGGATAAAATTCCATTTGGAGTCTGAGGTTGAACAGTTAAGAGAAAAGCTTTATACAGTACAAATAGTTCAAGCAATCATTCCTAGAAATATGATTGCTTAATACTGTGTGTAATCTATAGGACCATTATTGTATGAAAAGATACAGCTTCCACGTCTACACTGACCATCTTACTCCATCCTGGAAGTATTCAATGAGGTTACATATGTAGCCTTAGAACTTCATAAAAGGCACTTGGAGGGGTTTTTCTGTTGCATGTTTCAGTGCCAATGCATATGCGTAAACTCTGGCATCCACTAAAATGTGCTCTCCTGCCACTAGCTCTGCAAAAAAACCAAACCAATGAGTAATATGAATTCCAAGCAGAAAGGCAGGATAGACATAATAGGGGCAGATGTAAGTTCATATTCATACTATTAGTAAGAAGTTAAATAAAACAATAAGATTTCAAGCCAAGGGCTGACAAGTAGCATGAAAACATATTAGTCCTTTAAAGTCTTGTGGCATGTTAGTCCTCTGGACATTATTACTAACTCATTTAGTGTGTATTAAAACAAAATATGATCCGTCTTGAAGCACACAGAACATGCCTCAGTGGATGAGTAGCTATCTGGAATAGGCATTGCATTGATAATTGCTTCTAACAAAGACACCCACTGGCTAGATTGTGCTAATGAACATTCCTTTGTAGAAGACATGACACATTGTCTAATTACCTTTATACATGACATGTTATATGCATGTTTTCCAACTTACAAAACTACAAGTAGATGGTTTTGGTTTTTAAAAGTGTTATAAATTTCCCAAGCTGAGAGATACTTAGAAAATCTGGAATACAGAGGCTAGAAAGTGGGTTGATTTACAGTAGGGCAAAGATGATAAAATTGCAAAACTATTTTAATTGGCTCAATATGCCAGAAAAAAAATCCTCTTACCCTCAATTCTCTGCAGTAGATCATTCTTTGGCAGTGAAACAACTTCTACAAATTCTAGCAAAGAAAAAAAATTAAACATAATTTGTGTATTTCACACTGATAGATGTTTTTAATCTGTCAAAAAGTCATACCTAATCGAGTTGAGTTACTGTTAAGAGATGTATATTTCATTCTCATCTCTCAAGTTCAGATGGAAGGCAGACAAGGAACTGGATTCAGGTTCACCTTCAGCCAGAGACCATTACCACCCAGGCATGCGGCCATGCTCAGTTGACAGACACCGGCAAGATTAAAAGCACCTTTGAAATGCAGTTTTGAGGCAATAATTCTGTAGTTATTTTCCCAAGTTAGCCAGGAGAATGGTGACATATCAAGGACAGAGTCCACTGTACTGCAAGAACAAACACTATTCCTCTTCCCCCATCTGATTATATGTTTCACTGTTGAAATATTAAGGAAATCTGGGCTTGCATACTTGGACTGGCAAGAGACTACAACCTTCAGTTTCACAGAGTGGAGGACGAGACAACTGAAAACTAAAGGCTCATCCTTGACATGTTGCCTGCCACATAGGCTGGGCAGACATGCTTGAGGAATACAAGATACAGCTTATTTGCCTGTATCTACCCAAGCAGTTCCCCATATCCAGATAAACCCCTTATCCAGATAAGCCATTTCAGTCTAGGGGCCAAATCCACAGGCATCAAAGCTACACCAAATTTACAGCAGCTGAGAAACTGATCCTAGATAGGTCACAGTGACCATTTCCACTGAAATTTTCCCTACTTAAACCAGGCTGTGGTACAACAACTGTTTGGGAATTTCAAATCTGATCTAAAGGGAAGTCACTGGAGCCCATAGATTGTGCCACCATCACAACTGTGATCCTAAAGTTGCTGAGAAAAATCTCTTGACCCCAGAGAAGAGCAGAGTTCAGGAGACATGCACATTCAGAATGAGATCTGATACAGCTGAAGCATACTTGCCCTGCTCCCAGCCACAGTGAAGTTAGGCAAGCAACATACCTCCTTCCTCTGGAACGACAAGAAGAAAGAAAAGTGTTAATGCATAAAGAGCCAAGTTCAGACACACACTGCAGCTCAGTGCCTGTTCCTGCTGTCACCCACACATATCAGCGAGAACCTTTCCATTGACTTTAAGGGGAGGTGGATGATGCCCTAAAAGCTCATGAGGTTCAAGTCAGTGAACCCAAGTGAAGTTATTAGGATCCTGTATTGCTGAGCCTTTCAACAGTTTCCATGCAAGGGCCCCTCCAATGAAACACAAAAATTAAATACTGTACGTGTGTCCCAGACTCACCAGGCTTTGGCTTGGGTCTTGTATTACAGGCATCATCTCCATTAATGGTGACAGTCACAATGTGTGTTGTGCAGTTCGTCAAACCAGGGTCCAAGCAAACAGCTACAAAGTAAAGTATGTTCATTATGAGAAAGGGACCAATGTACTGAACACTTTAATACAACATTCACCCAAATATATTTGATCCAATAAGAGAAAACTTATTCAGCAGGGAACTTCACCAACATACATCACAAAGCCAGACAAAAAGTCTGGGTTCATCATCTGTTCGTACAAGTCGTGCTGGGTAAAATGTTTTGGACAAAGTTTATTTGTCAAAAAATGCAATTCTGGTCAAACCAAAACTATGTGGGATTAACTGGCCATTCACAAAATAGCTGGAGGAGGAGGAGCTAGTGGTTGTGCTACTGCTATAGTTCAGACATGTGCCTGGGAAGTGGGAAACCTAGATTCTAATCCCTACTCTGGACAGACCATAAATGGAATCTCTCAATTCACCGAAAATTCCAAAAGCTTTTCAGATGTGGTTTGATCTGAACTGATTTTCCCTCCTCTGAACTGCCACTGAACCAAAAAATTAGATCTTCATCCAGCTCTATTTACAAGTGCTTCTTAACACAACAGTCTCCTCAATTCACACATTAGATTCTTTTCCATATTTGTATTTTCAGCCCCTACTGATTATTTCTACTGCAGGGACAAACTTTCTCCTCCTTCACTGTACATGAAAGGCTAAACTGCGGGCTCACAGTCAAAACATGATAAGAGCCCAATTTTGCCATCAGTTATGCACACAGCACTCCAGTCTACAGATAAGTCTCAGCGAGGTAGCCCTGCTAGGGTGTGTCTAGAGTACATGGCTCCGCTGACAGAGCCATATAGATTAGGCAGGACGGCAAAAGGAAATGAAGTGGCCATTTAAATAATCGCCGCTTCATTTAAATAAAAATGGCCACCACGCTGTGCTGATCAGCTGATTGTTGGCACAACGCGGCAGTCTAGATGGGGATCTGCAGACCCCAGAACCCTTCGTCGGCAGATCCTTTATGTTTCATGAAACGAGGTTTACGGGATCTGCCGACGAAGGGTTCTGGGGTCGGCAGATTCCCGTCTAGACTGCCATGCTGTACTGACAATCATCTGATCAGCACAGCGTGGTGGCCATTTTGATTTAAATGAAGCCGCGATTACTTAAATCGCAGCTCCATTTCCCTTTTTTGTGTCAACTAATCTACATGGCTCCATCGATGGAGCCATGTAGTTTAGACGTACCCTTAGTCTGTAACTTTAAAAAAAAACAAAAAAAAAAACAACCCTTCAGTTGTTTAAAGAAAAGGGAAGTAGATTTTGCCCATGAGAGCTCATGATTTTATTTATTTATTTGTTTGTTTGTCTCTACGGTGTTAAAGAACTACTCAGTCTATGGATAATATGCAATTGTAGCAGGGCAAAGTTCAACCTTAATAGGAATATACCCAAAGCTATGGTCCAGATTTCCCACTTCTCTAGCATTTTCCCCTTTGTAAAGGTTTTTCTTAAACTCCAGTTTTGCCACTGCTCTGTGACAGGCAGCACAAAATGTTTAAATATAGTTGCTGGCTGCAAAAGCTTTGGGGACTTGGATGTTAGGCAACATTTCCTTCTTCCCCATTCCTACTAATCAGCTGCATGAGAAGCTGAGTTCTCCTTCCTTTGCACAGCAGAAATGTGTACAAAGACTGCATGATGCAACTGTTATTCATTCAGCAGGCAGGTTCAAAGGAGACACTTAAACCTCCCAGAGAAGAAGTCAAATCAAGTCCAAGCTTCTAGACCTGTTAATTACAACATGCCAGACCTTTAGTCAGACTCCAAAATAAGCATACTTTGTACCAAGTACCATATCTTGGACCCATAAGCAGAGCATGAGTAAATGGGGATCTTCCTTAAAAGCAGAATTGTTCTCCCACATGCCTCAGAGCAGCAGTCAAGCTGTTTCTATAGCCCTCTATGTTCAGTTTTACCCAGTGGATCCGCATCTGTCAGACACACACACACATGATATCTATGGCTCCTTTGGTGTTGTCCGGGGACATTGTGGATGTGCTCTGGAAGTGCATATTCCCTCTTTGTGCCTTTCCCATCCTGAACAGTGGACCCATTGTAGATCCATTGAATTTAGGGCATTCTGTGACCAGGAAGGGGACAAGATTGGCTCTGAGTCAGGTAGTCAAGAAACAACAAAGACCTGGAGAACATTCAACGACATCCCCTTTGTACCCAGTTTCTTCCTCCAACTCTCGCAAGGCAGCGCTTTCTGGGCTTTCATTTCCCTCAATGAGGCCTGCAGTGTAAATGTTACATTAAAAGTAGTTAAAATTGAGCTCTTTTACAGCATTGTTCATTCTTGGATCTAAGGGTTTTACAAAGGAAGGCAAAGTAAATGGGGTAACTGCTAGGTACGGGGAGATCAGGAACGTCAGTATCAGATCTGGGAACAGAATACAGGACTCCTGCCTCTTATCCACCAAACCATGATGTTTTCCTCCCAAAGGAATTAAATCTCTCCTATGAGTATGCCTATGCCAAGCTCACAAAGGCTTTTCCTCTCTTTTGGAGGTGGAAGATGGGAGGAAAAGGGGAAGAGATTGCATTAGACAGATTCTACCAATAAAATCTGACATTGTGCTATTTTGCACTTTTTATTATTAACAAGGATGTTAAGAGGCGGGTGATTGACTAATCGTGCAGTTGATAAAATTTGTATCGACTACACAATAAGTTGATAAGGTGCTCAGTCGAGTACCCCCACTGTGATTCTTCAGTTTAAGTGTAGTCGGAGCCTGGCTCCGACTACATTTAAACTGCAGAGCTGCAATGGGGGTAGGTTCCGGACCAGCACGAGCCAAAAACTGAGCAAGCCCGGCTCGTGCAGGGTCCAGAAGCTACCCTTGCTAAGCTCTACAGTTTAAAAGAACTAAGAGCTGGGCTGCCTGCCCACCCAGCTTTTAGTACATTTAATCTGCAGAGCTGCAGCAGGGAGTAAGTCCTGGACCCGATGCAAACCAGAACTGAGTTGGGCTGCCTGCTCAGTCAGAGCAGCCCCTGTCCATCGCAGCCCGGGGCAGGCGGCAAGAC